CCCTTTGCCTGGTGTCCTTTGAGAATAACCTGTAAATCTCAGTTTCACATAGGATATAGTGAAAGGAATTAAGCAGGCTTGTTTGTTTTGGGACAAAGAAACCTGCAGAAGTCCTTCCACTGTCATTTTTATTTTAGCATAAATTCTTCCCAACCTGCAGCCCTGCTGCCGGAGGGGTAGGTAACTAAACTGAGCAGGTTCCCCTCAGAGCTTCTAAATATCGGGAGAGAACTGGTGGATTCCTCCAGCCTTTCAGAAGTCTCTTCTATGTCTTTGCCCAAACTACTACCAGAAATTTAGCTCATGTGCCTGTACAGGGCTGTACTTTTTATTTATTCTAGAACATGTGAGAGAAACACGGTTATGTTAACCACATGGAATTGCATGCTCTGTTATTTTCTTTAACTTAGGGCAATGGGGGGTTATGGACAGAGGACCTGGGATTCAGGAATCTCTTGTTTGTCCTAGCTATTGAAGACTAAGAAATCCAGCCGTAGTAGAGGCATTCTAGCAGTGTGCTTTGGTTTAGTGTTTTTTATTCTCTCTCTCGACTCCCCTTCCCCCCACCCCTTGCTGTAATACCCCCACTATTGCAGGATTCCATAGTTATTAATAGAGAGAGGGTGTTGCCACTTTCTTTCCTTGCCAATCAGTCAGAAAGGACCTAGTAGAACTGGAAAGGTTATGTAGAAGGATGACAGGTGATTGTAGACATGGAACACTTCTCAGTGAGGAACAACTAAACAGACAAGCACTTGTCAGCCAGAGGAAGGCAGACTGGAAACAAGATGTGACAGAGATCTGTAAATCTTGAGTGGCATGGGAAAGGTGACTACTGATTAAGTGTTTATCACCTCTCATACAAGAACTAGAAGACATGAAGTCAGCAGATACCCCCAAAAAAAAAAAAAAAAAAGGGAGATACCTCTTCATGCGTTGTGTAGTTGAGATGTTTGCTTTTTACTATTAGTATGCTGTGGATGCCGGAAGTTCATAGAGATTACAATATGTAGGCAAATCTATGGAAACAAATCAAGGGATAGGAAATACACATACTCTGGTTCAGAAAGCACACAGAATAGATTAGTGAACGCTAGGGGAGTATTCAAGGGAAGTATAACTGTGCCTATCCATGTATTCTTTCCATGCGTTGTGTAGTTGAGATGTTTGCTTTTTACTATTAGTATGCTGTGGATGCCGGAAGTTCATAGAGATTACAATATGTAGGCAAATCTATGGAAACAAATCAAGGGATAGGAAATACACATACTCTGGTTCAGAAAGCACACAGAATAGATTAGTGAACGCTAGGGGAGCATTCAAGGGAAGTATAACTGTGCCTATCCATGTATTCTTTCCTGTGCAACCAGTGTTAAAGACGAGACATTAAATGTTTAGTCCGACTTGATAGGACACGTCTGGTGTTACTTAAAGAGCATTGTTTTAGGGGAAAGAATTTACTAATGTTGTCCTTTCTTTCCTTTGTCCAACCAGGCATCTATGCAGGCCATGCCATAACCGTGAAAAAGCTAAGGGACTGGGAAAGTACATCTGTCAGAAGTGCCACCTGATAATTGATGAGCAGCCTCTGATGTTTAGGAATGATTCCTACCATCCAGATCACTTTAACTGTACCCACTGTGGGTATGTTCTCATCTTCTAACCCCTGACAACAAAAGAGTTAGACAAGCAGTATAGTCAGTAATACAGTCCTTTCCAAGGTTTAAACTTTGCTGCCTTTGCATTGTTAAACAGAAATTCTATGAGGAAAATGAAAAGGAATTGAGAAAGCGTAGAAGAACTGTTGTTTGATTTTGCTGTTTGATGTTCTTCTATGTTAAGCTTGAATGACACCATTTTATATTGACCATGAAAACAGTTCCTTGGCATGAATTTACCTCACAGGCTACATCCAGATTAGAGTAATAGTATTGTCCAAACACAGCTGTTGACAGACTATTCAAAATAGTTAGACTTTGCATTTCTGATTAGAAAAAATGATTCAGAGAGCTGTAGGTCTGTCTTTCTGGTACAATCCAGTACAGTACTGATACCTATGTGAGTTATTTCTCACGAAAGCAGTGTAATTGGAGCGCAGTACTCCCCTAGCATGGGTAACAGTGCTGAGGAATGAGGTAAATCGTTCTTAGCTGAGCACTTCTAGAATGGTCTGCGCACCTGAGCTATGTCATTCAAAGACAGCTTGATTACGTGACACTGCATCATTCCATGTAGGTACATCTCATATTTTTGCCAGAGCATCTAGCCATGTTAAAACGTGATATTCTACATGTGTTCTCTTGTCTGTCAAACTGAGAAAGCTCATAAAAATGAGTTGATAAAAACGATATTTCACTAGCATAGTTTAATGTCTCACTATCTATAGCACGAGTGTTGCCAAAATGTGTTTGCTTTCAAATTTAGTCTTCTAAAACCTCATCTCAGACGTTGAAGAGCTTCACTTGGAGTTCTTATTTCAGGGATGCGTTTGTGTTTTCAGGAAGGAGCTGACTGCTGAGGCCCGGGAACTGAAGGGAGAACTATATTGCCTACCTTGCCATGACAAGATGGGAATCCCCATCTGTGGAGCCTGTCGCAGGCCCATCGAGGGACGAGTGGTCAATGCTCTGGGAAAACAATGGCATGTTGAGGTGAGGCCTCTCCAGATGCCTTCAGAAGGCATTTTGGAAGAGGACTAGTGCTATAGATGGAAGCTGTAGATGTTTGTGATCCCTGTCTGGTATGAATTCATGCAAAAAGCAATTGCTTGTGTTTCAGAATGTCTCCACCTTATGTAAGCTATAACGGGTACAGCGTGTTCATCAGGGTTGCCTAAAATCAGTAGACTTTCACAACAGTAATAACCTTAGGAAAATATTTTTCAAATGCCTGAGTTGCATTGAAAAAGATTTTTGCAGAATGTGACTTAGTGGTTACGTTTACTTATTAGGGTTGTATACATCCTCTCCACCCCCAGTTAACAAGGTCATAACGATATTAGAATTTGTAACGTAGACAGAGCCACCATGATTCTTGCTTTTTAAGCCTTTTCAGCTCGTTGTTTATATAACTTTAGGCTTGTCACAGCATGCCCTGAAGTTTTTGGTGATTGATGTGTTTAGTGATTTAGGCCTCCTAAGGGCTGACCTGTGAAGGAGATGCTGTCGCTCGTTTGAAATGCATGCACGCCAACCGTGTTTTATGTTCCTCTGTCTCTTCTCTGAAGCAAGCAAGATAACAGTCCACAAGTCTGTCTATCAGTATAGAAACAACATGGTTATCCTTTCAGTGGGTGTTCTACCTATCATTAATTATTACTATAGACTAAATATTTCCTCTTTCTTCTCACTGTCACAAGGATTTTCCTGTCTGAGTTTCATTAAAGCGTTAAGTCTCTTGTACTGAGCCATGAATTGCAGCCAGAGTAGCACCTATGCAAGTCTTTCCCCAGTGATGCAGAAGTTGCTTTACCTGCCACTGAATGGCTTTTTCTTTTACAGCATTTTGTTTGTGCCAAATGCGAGAAGCCATTCTTGGGGCACCGACACTATGAGAAAAAAGGACTGGCTTATTGTGAAACTCACTATAACCAGGTAAATTCTGCCATCTTATATGTAGGTATTTGTTCTGACTGACAAATGCTTTGGTAATCTGAATTTATAGATACAAAGCAGTATCAAGAAATTAGAGCTTATTTTAAAAAAAAAAAAAAAAAGAAAAAAGCTGCTCTTGGTAGAAGTCAAAAGTGATGCTGATAAGAAAATAGAAGTGTTTTGGGGAGACTGATTTTTCTTTGTCCTACTGACAGTGAAAAAACACTGACCGTGCTTTGCCACTAAAATCCCTGTAATTGTACTCTGGAACAATTGGTATGGACTTCTTGGATGACTGCTGACTTCTGTTGGCCTAAGATAAACGTTATGCTGTCTAAAGCATAAGTAAAGTGTGTTTCGTGAGCTAATCAGAAAGTAATTTTTCTGTAGGACTATAGTGAACACCTACCTATGAGTTCAGCATTTTCTTCTATCAGAAATTAGTCTCTCCCTCTCTCGTAAAAGATAAGTATTACTGTTTTAAAAGTAGCTCTAGGCTTTGTTTTGATGTTTCTGGTTTAGCCTCAGGAGATGTGTCTTCAGTAAGCATCATACTCTACTGATCCTCTCTTCCTCAGCCCCATGTGCCGGACTTAAAGATCACATAACAATGGTAGAGTGTGAGGCATCAACAAAAAAGGTCTTGTAGGATTTAATGGTACGATATCCAAGTGAACATAGACTATTTGGCAAGCGTATGAGAAGTTATTCAGAAGACTTAAATCAGTTTATTTGGGGGCTTTTGCAGTGTCTGGGAATTAACTGATTGTTAGGATTTGCACCAGCTGTGTGATTTGGGGAGCATAAGCAGTCAGTAATATAAGTTCCTGTTCTTATTTCTGCTGCTGTGTAGCTTTTTGGAGATGTCTGCTACAACTGCAGCCACGTGATCGAGGGAGACGGTAAGATTTGTTCTCTCCTTGTTTCGGGTCGCTGTCGCCGTTCCGTTTGTCAGTGCAGCTGTTGCAGTCCCACAGTTGCAAGGCACCAGTGTTTCTGCTCACATCTGGCCTCATTTGAATTTGGAAACAAATCCAAATTCAAATAATTTGGCAGTTTCCTTTTATTTTGTACTTTTGCTTTTGCAGTGGTATCAGCTCTTAACAAGGCCTGGTGTGTGAATTGCTTCTCCTGCTCCACCTGCAACATCAAGCTTACACTGAAGTAAGTTAGTGCTTGTAGTTGGGCCATAGTGAGACATTTTGCCCCAAGACAGGATATCAGCTTGGGCTCGGGAGAGCTATGAGCCAGTGCCTCTCTAAGGGTCAATATGCTACTGATCAGCTAGTCAGTAATGCCTTTTCTCTGTAGGCGCAGGGGCTTATAGATCGCACTGATTTCAGAACTAAAAGGGAGCTGGGAGCCAACAGCTTCTGTAGTTTATTTGCCAACATTAATCTATTCTGCAGGAAGGTTGGGTCGGGGGAGAACTGCTTGAGCAGTACAGAAGGAAGGCTCTATACTTTAGAGTGACTGGCTGTCCTGAAATACCTGCAGCTTCCATCTCTCCTTTATCTGGATGCTTTTCTCACTGACGGTATTGGAAAATTGCTTAAGTTATTCTGAAAGAAAATGTTATGCTAGTTGCCTCAAATAGGCAGGTAGGAGAAGGCAGAAAACAAGGCAATCCTACATTTCCCTTTCTCAGGTTCAAACCCTTACCCTACTGTGCTGGGTTGGCCCCACTGGCCCGGTATACGAAGGAGCTCTAATTCATCACAAAGAGGAGCTTTGAAATGACATTTCCATTCTAAGATAACAGCGTTATTATTCTAGGCTGTTACATACAGCTACATAGCAAATTCTCACTCCTTATTTAAGTAGCAGTAGCAGAGGCCCCAGGTCCCTGATGAGAATCTCATCTCTGTACTTGCATGACCAGATAAGAAAGCGAGGTGTTTTATACATGCAATAGAAAGCAAACAACTGCATTTATGTATACATATGCAGACTTGATTTGGTCAGGCATATAGTTTGCAAATATGATTTTAATAGGCCACTTGTTTGTTTTAAAGGAATAAATTTGTGGAGTTTGACATGAAACCTGTATGCAAGAAGTGCTATGAAAAATTCCCTCTGGAGCTGAAGAAGCGCCTGAAGAAGTTATCTGAGCTAGCATCCAAGAAGTCGCATCCGAAAGCTCTGGATTTAAACTCTGCTTAAACAGGTCTGTCGGCCTACTGGCTGCGCTCTTACAGTCATGAATTGCTGCTTGCAGCAACTATTTATCACAGAGGGAATTGTTAAGAACAAGTGAAACCAAAGATAACTAGTACCTTCCCCTGCTTCCGCTAATGTAGCTTGCACCTTGACTATCCCTTTTCTCAAGCAACTGTCTATTAACACTGGGAGAAAGAGGAATCTGATTTCTTCTTGAGCAGTTTACAGGCTGGTTATTAATTTGTTAACCACAACCTACTCTACCTTTGTTGAATTGCACACAATCTTTTCTTCCTCAGTTGAACCGTAGTTCTCTCTCCATTCCTCTTATAGTCTAAGGAATTTGGAAACGCTGGTTGGGTGTAGGGGTGGAGGCAAATGCATGGTTAGCTCTTTTTTGGTTAAAGTATGAAAGTTTCTCCTCTTACTCTGCATGAAGAAGTTTTATTTATTTTTTTTTAAAATCTGTAGGCAAATACTCTGAAAGCTGCCACACTTTGCTACATGCAGAATGTCATGGTCTTTGCCCAGTTTCCTACTGAACGTGCACTGACACTGTATGGTCCTACTGGTTTGCAAGTTTTTTGAGCGAGCAAGAAGCCAATAGTTACGGCATCTGCGCTGCCCGCTTGTCTAGCTCAAGACCAGTGTTGAGATAGGACAGCTCAAGAAGTTTGCCTTGCTGCTTCCCCATTCAGCAGTAAGAAGATTTCAATCTCCATGGCCATGTCAGCCTCTTCAGAGTCGTTGGGCTTTCCTTAAGTAGGAGGTGGCTATGGGAAAGGACAAATTTTGTTAGGAACTGACTCTGTAATTTTCTAAGTCTGTTCTCTACTGTGTCATGGGTACTAGAACTTTGAGTGAACAACCCAACGCAAGTCTACCCCCTGGCAGAGCTGGCATTTCTTGATGTAGAGTGGCTGGAGCTCTGGTGGTTCTTTTGTATAATGAAATCCAATTGATAATATGGCACCAATTTAAGTACTCCAGTTTCAAATTCAGTCCTTTCCACTTTATTTGAAAGGTGAGTATACCTTCTGAGGTCCCTCTCCAGAAAGCCCAATGACATGAAGGTGTTTCTGATATTTACGGTTTGTAACAAATGCAGTCTCATGCAGAAAAAGCAGGAAATATTTTTCCTAAAACTTTAACCCAAATAAGAGTTTCCCATTGACTTTCTTCTTAAGATCTGAGTGTACCTTAAGGGAGGACCCTCAGACATGAACCTGTAAATTTTAAGAATAGTTTTTGCCTACAGGTTTCTTTCTGCTCTATAGTTTTGCCTGTCACTGGTGCAGTTTCACTGGTTCTGCTGTCTCTGCTAGTATAACCCGAGGTCCTGAGAAACGGATTAGTTTTAAACATTCTCAGTATTTCTTTTGGGGTGATCCATCAGCAGAGCTGTTGCTGGGTCCACCTGTGTGTTGTATAATCATGGTGTGTCCCATGGTTTCTTGTGCTGAACTAATCTGAGCAGCTTGAAAATCTCTTTACCTGAATGTTAGGAGGCTATGTCGGCCCTTTTTGTGAGGTGGACAGGATTGGGAGGCACTGGAGGACTGATGGCCGTTGCATGATTTAAATCTCCTATAAAGTGGATAGTTTACTAATTCACATGAACACAGCAGGTGGGCCTTACTCTGCAACCCCAGGTCAGTTAGCCAGCAAGAAGTTAAAGCTTCCTCACTTTTTCTGTGTGTGAGCAGCAACTGGATTGAGGCAAAATCTGAATGAATCTTAAAATTCTCCTCACTGCCATCACACTCTGCCCAGAATAGATCTAAACGAGATAATAGCTAAAGTACACATTCCTATTAGCACGCTTGCTGTAGCTACTACCTATGAAACTGCACCAGTGACATCACAGCAGTGGTGGGGCAAACCTGGTGTGCAGATGAGAATCCCAAACGCAAGACCGTACCTTAGATGCCGGCTTTCCTCATTCAAATTTCCTTCAGCTGCTTGGCTTTTTGTTGTCGTAAGTTACCATAAGCATTTAACTGGGATATTCAGCATAGCCACTGTAACACTGGAGAAGGAAGGTGGGCTTTAATCAAAGGTAGAACTTTTCCATCCTCTTGTGACCAATCTGCACTGTAGATTACACTAATATTAGCTTTTATTGTCACTGCTTTAGGAGAACATGTGGCTAGTCCCTGTTCTCTTGTTAGCCTTTAAATGGCCTTTCAGACAAGGGCACAAAGAGCAGCATGGCTTTTAGTGCAGTAACATGTGGCCGCTGCAAGAACCAGTCTTGTAAGCCTATTCTTCGGCACTTGGCTCTCAGAAGCACAAAAACTACTGACCGAGACACAGTTCATTATGTTATACAGATTCTTCTCAGCATAAAGCATGTAGCTCTGCTCCTATAATCTTAGTCACAGGCTGAGCCTAATGCCAAATCTGAGCAGCTGTGTATCTTCAGCTTCCTGGGATGATGGTGGAGGAACACACAGCAGTATTACCTATTTGTAAATATGAAAAGACTATGCAACTAACATGCAATAGATGATATTCTTTCAGAGGCCACTCTCAAATTCAGCAATGGAAAATGCATGTATGTAGAGCTGAATGGAATTATTTCTGTATTGCAGATAGAGACGTAGCGTGAGTTGGAAATTTAGTAGACTTAGTAAACCTCAGAGTTCAAAAGTTAGTTGATACCATTCTCCTTGACAAACTGCTCATTTCTCTAGGATTTGGATTCTGTCCTTATCTTCAGAGCATTTCCCGAGAGATTAGTGAGAGAGAAAATCACCGCAGTCCTCGATCTCTGTAATAGCTGGATAGCGATGTTCTCTTAGCGTTTTCTTAATTATGAATTAGAATTTTTCACAATTATTTTTATTATACTCCTGCTGCCTTAGCATGCAGTGTGTACAGTAACAATAATGCGTATTATTGATGTTCATTTTGTGAGACAGAGGAACCAAGGGAATAGGAGAAAAAATATAACAAATTTGAAAAAAAAATGCATCTTTGAGTCTACATTTTTAAAAAGTAAGTAGAAGGTATTGCAGACTGAATTCTCCTTCGCGTGTTGATAGGCTGACGGTGAAGTCAAGATCTTGGTCAGAAATGTAAGCTTAAAGGTGCATGCTTTTTTTTTTTTTTTTCCATTGCTGTAAACAGACATGCTGGCCAAATTCATCCTAGGTATCACACCACTGAAGACCGTAGATTTATATCAAGATTGAACTTGGCTTACAAGTCTTTCCTTATGAAAAGCTGCTGTCTCATTATATAATTTTATAGTTTACATTTATATTTATACATACTGAATTAAAATCACTAATGTTCACTGAGTACACTTGAATACAGTGATGCTTTTAGAAATCACAGTATGTGAAGCTTATTTGTATTCAAAGGGTATGTTAATCACATGCTATCTTTCTTTATGGCAAGCTAATTTGCTCTCTAGGGCTTGAGTCCTGGTCTTCATTTTGCAATAGCCTATGCAATGTAGGCAAATATTGTTCAACCTTCTGTACAGAGTTTCTGAAAGTCATGTGTTTTGTACTGGATTATGCAGACTCCTGTGACTGACACCTCTAAATCAATGGTTGGATAGTTGTGGAATCGATTGCAGACAAACATGCAACAAATGCAGTTTTACTAGTCTGTAAGGCGCTATTAAGTGCTGAGGATACTACAGACTGAGTAAAGGACTTAGCAGCTACTTGCCTGGGTTCAGACCTTGATGAGCAGGGCTGGATTCTGCACAGTGTGAAGCTCTCATTTTATTACACTTGGCTTGTGCTGTGTAACCAAAACATGTGGCTGTGGATTAAAATATTGTAATACTGTACTTGTTTATATTCTTGTAATAAACTTAACTTTTACAGTTTAAATCTTCACACTAAAAACATGTAAAAAAGACTGTATATTGTAGAGTTTAAAAAAAAAAAAAAATCACATTTACAATGCTGAGCCAGAGTGAGTCGCCTAGGAACTATGAGGATTGCCCAGATCTGATTCAGTGCTGTGCTGAATTCAGGTTTTGGATCTCTGCTGCTTTTGTGGAGATGTGTTGGTTGATGATGATGTGCAGAAAGGGGTATCATTCTTTTAGAGGTTATGCCATACAAATTGTACTGTGTATATGAAAAGTAGATGGGATGCTAAGATCATGTATAGACTGTGATATATGTTTGGTAGGGTTAAGTTGCATGGACCTGGAGTGAATACTACCTTTTCTTGTTGAAAAAGACATCATCATGGTTGATTTTCTACAATGTTTATTTAAAAACCAGAAACAATATATGTCAGCGGCAAAATTTCTTTTTGTACAGGCAAAGTACAGAATGCTTCTCAGCTATACCCAGTTAGATCAGAAATAGGACGACAAAACAACCAAAGCCAGTAGTCTCAAAGTTTCCATTGCCAGCAATGGACATTACAGCAGGAATATCTAATTGCTTGCAAAAGGATCGACTATTCTGACAAGTGTGGCACTCATTTCGATGCACAAAGTGAGAGGGGCTCTTCTCCCTGCCATGCATGTACAACACTCCCATTAGTGTTTGAATTGCACACGCACATATCCAAGGGAACAAGGGAACCATTGTGCATACATTGGCAAGTTAGAGTGAGAGAACCAGCAGAGCTGCTTTTCCGGCACTGCCAGATCGTATCTCAAGGAACTTGGTGTAAATGCTTTAAGACATGTCCATGTTTCACTGAGCAAAGGAAGGCTCTTCATTGAGGATCTGTACTTGCTCTCTGCTGGGGTAAGCATCTAGGCTTACTGCCACTACAGTGCCCATGCTTTACTGACTCTGAGATGCTCCTGTGGGACCCAAGTTGTGTGTTTATGAAGGTCTATGTGGTGAACAAGTGCTGGATCAAATTTTATCACTCAAATTGTCAGATAAACAGGAAATATAAAAGATCAAGATAAATTAAAACTGTTAAAATTAGTAACTGATATTCTTCTGTCTCATGAGCGAACGTCTGCATAACTCCATGCTGAGAACATTTTTAGAGAGAAGAATGTCTCTTTTCAACAGATGTCTGTTAGACTGTTTTTCAATGCTGATTTGCACTGAATAGTACATCAATAACTTGAAAGAGGAGCTACTGAGTAAAAGTAATGGACACAAAATCCATACTCATTTCAGAGTTTGTTTATGCTTACTTGAAACTACATAACAGAAAGCAGTCTTTAGTTTCCTAGTGCGTAAAGAAACGTGGAAGAAAGAAAACCATCTAATTTAACTAAGGCAATGGTAAGCCAGCAAACAGCCTACCGGTCTAGTGGCACACAGGAGTGACATTTATGTTGTGACAGTAACTGGCTGTCTTAGTCTACTGTAACTTGCAGCACGTGTCCTAGTGATAAAAGGATGAAAAAACAGCTTCTTACCTCCAATTATCCTACTACTAAAGGACATTTCTCCACTCTTGGAACTTTACATTAGGAGGAAAAAAATAACATTACCTTTGTTTGCAAAGACTCAGGGAATTTATGCATTTGGTAAGAGTGTATGAAACAAGGGTAATGTTTCTCTCCAAAGGAAAAAAGTAAAAGAGTATCTCTCTTCTTAAGATTGGAGGAGACTTAGAATTCTATCAGAAGAGGTTTTCAGATTAGTCTAGGGTTTTTCCCCTTGTACATTAGATTAGAATCCAGCTTAAAAGTCCTCTAAATTGAAGTTTGAATGGAACTTACCTACTATATTTAAGAAAGACAAGTTTGAAATATGTTTGAAAGCACGTGCTCACTTGAGCTTCCCTTGCAATATTTCAGCAGCACAGTTCACTCAGTGTGTAATCAGAAAACTGATCACCAAGATCAGTATTTTTAAATGGCATTTCTTCTGGGAGATGAAATTATAGGTAATTTGGCACAGATATAGGTCCACGGGTTCTATTTCTGCTCTCAGGCTGGCAGGTTCTTTTGCTTGTTTACAGCATTCATTAGCAGGCGTACATAGGATGTTAACAGGTCATCCATTTTGTAACCCTGTCAGAAAAGAAAGGAAAAAAATGAAGTCTCTTACAGAGCTCCAGAAGCAAAATTAACTACCTCTTCCTCCCTGTTTTATTTTCTTCTTAAGTTCTCTCCTGCATGGACATCTTCTCTTTCTTACCTATCATTGTTTAGATAATTTAGCCCTTCCTCCATCTGCTCTTCCCTTCACAGGTTTACAGAAGTTTACAGAACATAGCTCTGCTGTTTTGTAGTCATTCGACCCAAAATTTTATTCTATAGCTTTTCATCTTGTACTTGGGAATCCAAGCTTTTCTATGAGAGAAGTTTGCCCTTAGATTTTTTTTTTCAGGTTATCTTTATGAACTTATCTTTAATATCAATACAGTGATGCTTGCCTGAGTCTGTGGACAGTCTGAAAACAATTCTCCAAAAAGGTGGTACCACTCGTTCAGAAGTGTAAAGTCTTACAATGATGGTAAGTTATGATGGTAAGTGTTACCGCATAGCTGATCAAAGCATGCAAGATGGAAATCCTCCTAGCTTTGTGGCTGAGTGCAGTCTTTTCTTGATGTCTCAGGTAGAATTTTGATGTATGGGAATAGTTGGGGAAATTACTATTTTTCCTTTTCTCTTTGGCTTGCTTCTTTGTATCAGGTGGCGTTATATAGCACTGAACTAGTTCTAAATGGCAGTTATGTTGGCATAGCAGTGCTTTTTGTATCTGCACTGGTTTTAAAGTCTGTTTTGGCACCATGCTCTTGTAGCAGTTCTGGATGTAAAGGAAAAATTAGGAGGCTCTTGCGTGTAAGTTAACAAAGCTCCTCTTACCAGAGATGTCTCACATAACATCCGGCTTCCTCGTACCAGGTTCCCTATTGTCATATGAAAGTATGTGCTCCCACTGCTCCAGTTGGAGATTTTATTAAAGGGGTAAACTGTTAAAATATCCTGTAAGGACAAACAAACCAATATAACTTAGCTACGCAACATTTCTCAAATGAAAACAGGCTGTCATGTAAGAAAAGCTGTAGAACTAAAGCCTTCTTTTTGGCTCCTGCTTTGTTTATATACGCAGTGGATCAAGGTGGGTCTTGCCATCCAGACTAGTGGTAAAATTCACCAAGCAGACGAGTCTTAATCATTTTAGGAGACTTCCTTTCATTATGTATTGATCTTTGCCTTAGCATACTACCATTATATTTACAGTAATCTAAAACTCACTATTTGTTCCCCTGTTAAAAGCAAAGAGTGCTATTCATAAATGCTTTTGCCTAGGAACTTGGTACATCCAGACTGTTCGGCTGGGTTAGAGGATTAGAGAGCCTGTAAACACTAAGATTGTCATTTGATGTAATTTGTAGATAGTTTGTGCTTCCTGCAACAGATTTTTTTTTTTTTGAAGCAGGTTCCTTAGTACACTATCCATCCATCCATCTGCCTTATCCTGATCCTACCACTTTGTCCAGGTCCATCCTGATAACTGCTTTTTTTTCGAGATGCTCTATAATGTTTTCTTTTCAGTGCAGAAACTACAAAAAGTGATTTGAGGCAATAACATATTCTTCACTTTCACACGGAAAACAAATAGAGGGACTCTGTCCTCCCTTAACGTTCAGGGAGAAGGTTTTGTTGCTGCCCCTAAATTAGCACAGTCAATTAAATCCTTCATTAGAACTGCCTGTTTAAGGTAGGTGGACACTTCTTAGAGGACCAGACAGACTCTTGAGAAGCAACTGTTACCTTTGTCTTCTGATGTATCACTGAGACTCCTTGCTTGTTGATTGCAATCAGCACAATCTCTGGGAAATTTGGCTCCGAGGTTTGCTATAAACGAGCAACAGAGCAAGATAAGCAGAAAAAGTGAAAAATGATCCATGCTAAGTGTATAGTGACCTTTAATAGTGTCTGACATTGCTTCTTCTCATTACCAAATTAATGAACTGAAACTTGAAGCTCTTCACTATTATGTAACTGTTGCTAAGGATGACTTTTTTGGCCATATGTTGAAGACTTGAGCAACTGCTACATAAAAGCAGAATCAGGTCTGTTAGTTGCCAGGCTATCTGATAACGACTCTTTTGGTGAGAGGTTAGTGAGGAGAGATTGAAGGTACCAAGAGGGAAATGATCCCTGCAGGCTTCTACTGCAGAATGAGAGGATTAATACAGTTCTGTTCTGAGGAGAAAATCCCCAGGGCATGTAAGATTTGACAGCATATTGGTGACAACAATGACAGGACAGTTGAGTATCTGCATAACTAAAAGCCCCCATCTAATACGTAATTGTAATACTACGTATTACAACTGCTACTTCCTCAACGATGTGTGTAGCAGCATGATTCCTTTGCAGTGTTCTCTGCACTGCTTCTCCATTGAGCAGAAATACTGCCAAGGGATTACTCTTGTATTTGGCAATTTTGCCCCTTCCAGGAACTGGAACAACAACATAATCAGTAAATAACAGACAGAGTTCAGAAAGTGTAAAAGACTCATCTCTCCACTTTGAAGGAACTGAGTTTTCCTCAGTAAATGGTGGGAAGCTAGCTTCATAACGCATTGGCACACAGGTATAGAATTAGAGTCAACCCGTATCTCCTAGTGCTCGTCTACTAACAAAGCCATTCATACAGAGTTTTAGACCTACCTTCACCTCAAAGAAGGCTGATCCGAATGTTGGCCACCGATGTATCATTTTCAAGAAGGCAACCTTCGCCTCATCCACAGTTTTTCCTTCATGTTTGCTATACGCTGCAGTAATGTTCTGTTTAGGAGAAAAGATACAGAGCCTAGTTAGTTGGAGATGGGCATTAGCACTAGAGACAGCATCAGACCATCAGCAAGGTCAGTCTTGTGCCCCCATCAACAGAAGGGACATCATGGAAGACCATGAAAATGAAAATAGCCTACCCTGCTAAGGGGGAGGCTGGAACCTCCTAGTGCTTCTTGCTAATGAGTTGGGTGAGAGAAGTCCAGGAGCCCAGGGGAATGGATTACAGGGAAGAGGGGTAATAATATAGGATGAAACAAAGTTCAGAGAGCCAGTGTTTCCACAGACATTTATCACATTTTCTGCTGAAACATGTAGGGTGAACCTTGCCTCTGTATCTGAAATAGGGGCCAGTGTGTTTCTCAGGGGGTTCAGTGAGAAGCGCCTGCTAAACCTTTCTTGCATTTTGGAGGAGAAAAGAGCCTTTTGCTATGAGCAGCACACACCTGGTGCAAGGTGACTGATTTGCTGGCCAACCTAAGAAATATTTAGGACGTGTCAGTTTTCTGTTTCTCTATGAGATCCTCAAATCCTCAAGCCCACAACTGACTTTCCCGCGTCTGTTTTTTCTGGACCCAGACAATAGAGTAGTATCTCCATGAAAAATGCATATCTCAAATCAATCCTACAGGTATGCAAATATCTATCAAAGGCTTGGTAGAGAGGATGCAGCATCTAGATTGTAACAGGCAAAATGGCAATTCTGGCCATCAATTGATGCCAAAAACGGCATCAACTAGCATCACTCCTCAGTGCTTTCAAAAACTAACAAATCAAAAAAGTAGTGCGGCTCCATGTATTTCTCCTCTCCTAGAACTTTTGGAAGCAGTATGATTAATGGAAAGCCTTAAGTAATGCTGATGTTCTTACTTTCTTCCACTCATCTGGTGAGACTGCTCGGAGCAGATTGTCTGGCACCAGCTCCTTTAGGATTTTGGGGATGGTTGCCAGCTGTGTACGGTCATTGTTGAAGCGCACTTTATAAATCAGCCCTGCCAGCTGGACAGCTTCATCCTTGGAACACTTGTGGTAGCCTCTGAGGTACTTCGGCAACTCCTGGAAGAGACCAGCTCTGAATCCAGAAAGACTAGGCTGGAGCAAACACAGACTTACGCATGCTAAAGCTGTGAGGTCAGGATGTAAGCCTCACCAAGCACAGGCTGAGGTCACCCCAAGAACTTTTGACTCCTCCTGGACGTTCTCCTGATAAGTCAGTGGAGGAAGATGAGCACCTCCAGGGAACAGGTGGATTAGGGAGCTATGTTCCCAACATAGGCATGCCAGCTAAGGTGCCAAATGCTGGGCTAAGCTCTGCTCTGAAAGTTATATATATGTTAATGGACATTACTGACTGCTATTTTTAACTACATGTTTTAAATACTCTTACATCCCTTTGGAGGCACTGTAATGCTGGCCTTGGAGAGGGAGAGAAGACAACTCCAGCAGGTTCACTTTCTCAGGAGTATTTCTTGGATCGCGGGGCCTGCCTTTATAGTTATGCCTTAGGGATCTTGTTACCTGGTGGTAATGAAAAATTGAATCGGCTTTCAGGTCCTTCCCAGGAATTACACTCAGCCACAGCTTTCTCATGAAGTACACCTCGTAAGCCACAGACATAGTAGCCCCTAAGGAAACAACATTGTGTTAGCATACTCTGTAGCTCTGCAGAGTTCTGCAGTTTGTAATTGACTGAGTTTCTTCTTAGTAATAAGAAATGAAATCACTGGCAAAATAGTACAAAAGGCAATTTCAGATGACCCAGGAAGTGATTAGTTGTCAGTTCCGGGGCACTGATCACAGAGTGATAGGAGGTGCAGGATTGTGCTCTTAAGAGAGAGCAAAAGGAGGAGAGGGTCTCAGCAATGCAGGCGTTAACTGTTGTTTCTTGCTGCTCATGAGAGCTGCTGCCTGATGTGCAGCACATCTGAATTAGGTAATACAGATGCAGACACATTCTCTGATGGCTCTATTTACGGGAATTAATGGTGATATGGCACACACATCTTTATGATGTGATTTTCAGAGCTCCTATCAGCTGCATCAGCTTTGAGCAGAAAAGGGAAGCTAGAAAGTCTTAGATGCCTAGTGTTCAGGCAGTTGAACCTCAGCTGTTCTGAAATAAGCAAAGGTCGGAGTATGAAACTGGGGTGAAGTTTGAGTTTAATGTAGATTTTAAAATGTACAGTTATACATGGAGGTGAATGGGAAAGAATTGCTGACATTGGGAGTTGAATGGTTTTACTCTAACAGCGTGTTCCCTTGGCAATACAACTTGGACTCCAATATCAACAAGTAGTAATCTAGACTACAATTTTCTAATGACGCAAGGAATGGGAATGGCGCTGTGTCAAGAACCTACTTACATGTATTCACTGATACCTGGTCTGGCAATGCTTAAGCCTTGGACTCTAAACAGGATTAACCTGTCGGTATCTTGCATGCATCCAGCTGTGTGCTTTGGATGCAACAAGTCAAAGCATCTTTGGTAGGACTCTAAAATTTGTGGTGAGATCCCCCCCATGCAAACATGTTCTGGTGTTTCTGACAGCCAGTGACTTGCTGCATGAGGTCACTGGATCTTACTGCTGGTGCAGGCAGTAACCCTATTTGCACAAACAAAAATGGTGTAATAGGCCTCTAGCCACACACTTGCTAAGATGGGAGTAAATCCTACTGGATAAATGTGTTGCTTCCCCAGCTCAGCACAGCATCTCATGCAGTTTCTTCTCACGATGACACCCTCCTTACCATCTTTCCCTGGTTTGTTCTTCCTGTTCCAATCTGTCACCTGCCTCAGCGAGTCAAAGAAGTAGTCTGCTTCATTCTGACTGATTACCTGGAAGAGGCCAACCAATGAAGGAGGGAGAGGAGGGATTAGCAGATCTCATAAAATACTACCTGTACCAACATACCCAAATAACAGGCTGGATTATCTTTCCCTGGCAGTAAAGGCAGAGGCAAAGGGAAAGGAACTGGAGAAATAGGAGGAAGGCTCATGTGGTTTCCATTTTGTATGGAGATTCTTATTCTGTTTTCTGTTGCTTTTTTCTCCCTTCCTCCTACTTGCTCACATTTATTTCCAACAGCTTACTGAAGTCAAGCTGAATATGCCTACTCAGTTCTTAGCCATCTCCTTATCATAAAATAACGGCAGGCATTGGCTTCCTCTCCTGAAGAACGCAGCATATCAGAAACTCCCTGTGCTTGGACTCACTGCTTCTTTTGCCTTGATGACAAAGCTCAAACAGTCCCTCAGAGAAGAGACCTCTCAGCAAGGCAGTCCACCCACGCTTCAGCTCAGGCAAGGCAAGTTCTTGAGAAATCAGGGAGCAATGACTGGTGCTGTTCAGCCACTTCTCTTCCTAATACTAGTGGGTATTGTAGATGTGCAGCATGTCTCCTGGGCAAAGCCTAAGAGTGGAAATGGTCTGAAGCCAGCAACATGTAACATGTGATTGGCTAACACCCTAGCAGCTGCAAGAAGGCCCATGTCTTGTCTGCTTTTAGTACCATGTGTCTACTGGTGGAAACTCTGGATCTGTTCTGGATGCTCCTTCAGGCGTCTGAAAATGAAGTGCCAGGTTCTAAAAGTTCTGGTCTAAGTTGCATCCCCTCAGGAAGACAGAAGCAGCAATGACCCGCTAGGTTGCTTGGCTTCATAAATGGTTGCTTAGGTGGTCTGGGAAAGTAGATGAGAGGGAGAGAGAGTTTGACTATCCTGCTCTTGCTGAGAATTACCTTGTCTGCGATCTTGACAAAGAGGCTGAAGCCTTCCCAGGAGCTCAGCTGCAATTTGGAAGTGATGTTCTGACACAGAGTCCGGATTTTAGTGTTTGTTCCCACATCAAATGTCTATGAGATAACAAGGCTATTGTTATGTGGAGAAGAGGAAGAAAGGGGAAAATATATATCTTGAAACATTCTCCTGCATGAACACAGGTCAAAGCTGGGAAAACAAAAAAGTTCTCACCTGCTCTGTTTCATTGGGGAAGCAAATCTTGTGTGAGATCTTAGTGTTGTTCTGCAAGATGGCATCGACCTCCACAGGATGAGGGGCCCACTTCCTGGAGCCGCTCCTGGAAAATGCCACCACAGTCAGAAGAGAGGTCAGTGCTGGATGTTTGTTTAATCCTTGAGGAACTGAACAGTAGGATAAATTCCATCCAAAATGCTAGTATTGGGACCTGGAGAGGGCTCTAATCCTTTACCCTAATGCAAATTCAGTGTATTAACAGAGCAAGAAACGGTCTTATTAGCACACTTGCTAAAAGTCTGTTCTACTCTGCGAGAAGTTTGCATGAATAAGGCATCTTTCTAGCCAGTACCGTCACCTCCTTCTAAGTATTCAGCAACATTTTTCTTTACAGTGAAGTGTGAAGACAGTGGTCACAAGGAGTGCTACATTTTATTTAAGTTCAAGCATCAGCAAAAGGATTTGCGTTCAGATACAAAATGACTGTTACAGCTGAGGAGGCAAGTACCAGAAAGGCTTGGAGGAGCTGCCAGAAGTATTATATTTTATATAAGAGCTGGCATAGAATCACCGAGTCGTGAGACACACAAGCTGCATAATGCTAATTCCCTGAAAGCACACCTCCAAGTAGAGCTGCCATGTAAAGCATAGGAACTGGATCTGGAGTCTGAGTCATACAAAAACCTCGATACGGTTAGAGTCAGGGCAAACTTAGCACGTTACCTTCTGAGGCTGTTATTTTCCTGTTCTAAGTGGCGTAGGGCCACTGAGGCTGTGGGAGGTGTCACAGAATCACAGAATAGTTAGGGCTGGCAGGGACCACTGGAGATCATCTGGTATAACCCCCTGCTCAAGCAGGGTCAGCTAGAGCAGGTTGCCTGGGACAGTGTCCAGTCAGGTTTTGAACATATTCAAGGATGGAGACTCTACAACCTCTCTGGGCAACCTGTTCCAGCGTTCAGCCAGCCTCACAGTGAAGAAGTGTTTTTGTATTCAGAAATTTCTGTCTTCTTCAGATGGAATTTCCTGTGTTTCAATTTGTCCCCCATTGCCTGTTGCCTTGTCACTGTGCGCCCCTGAGAAGAGTCTGGCCCCATCTTTTCTACACCCTCCCATGAGATATTTATAAACAGTGGTAAGACTCCCTAAACCTTCTCTTCTTCAGGCTAAACAGTCCCAGTTCTCTCAGCCTCTCCTCACGTGAGAGACACTCCAGTAGCTCAGTGATCTTTGTGGCCCTATGCGGGACTCCCTCCTGTAAGTACACATCTATCCTGTACTGGGATGCATGTATTTTACACACTACAGCTTGTGAGCCAATCTCCTTTCTCACACTGGGCCAATCTAGGGTGGCCAAAATGGCTATTCCTGTGTGCCTCCGGAGAGTGCTTAGCCTGACATCTGGTTTTAGTTGTGTGGATTTCCAAACTAATTTCCTTCTGTTAAATAAAATAACCGTTCCATTTGGAGAAGGAAAACCTGACTGTAAAGCTCTGGTACTGTCCAGGCACCAGATGGAGCATGGACCTACCCTACTTAGTCATCTGTTCCTGGCCTAGCAGCAGAGGGAGGCTGTAGGAGGCCAAGGAAGCACAGCAGCTTGCCTGAAGGCCCAGGGCCACCTCTCCTTGCAGCCTCAGCTGGGAATTCGTTGTCAAAGCAGGACCTTCTTAGCACCTCCAGGACGCTCTCTCGTTCCCTGCCCAGGAGTCTGGAGATGAAGCAGTAAAGCTCTTTGTGGGGAAAAGGATGTGTCCGGGGCCCAGTATGGCTTCTGTTCTGTGTAATGTAGTTAGTCCTTTGAGCTGCTTGCTCTCCCCTTTCCAAGGAGAGCAGGTTACTCACAGGGAGAAAGGGTGAGAGCGGTTGCAGGTTTAGTCTTGGGAAAAGAACTGCTCTTAGAAAACAACATTTTGTCCTCTCTGCTCCTCTACCCCCCTGCCAAGCTCCAAATTTAAGGCACTTTGCAGAGAGATCTCAGAAAAAAAAAAATCCCCCCCAAATAGCCCTTGCTATTTCCCCCTCCCTGTTTCCCCGCTCTAAAGAGGGTCTGTATGGCTAAACAGGGCTTAGAGTGTGAGCAGCACATGATAAAGGGAGGCAGGAACATTTCAGTCTTCTCCACAGAAAGAGCAATGAATAGCATTCCTCACCATGCATTTTTCAGGCACTTGAAAGGCGATTTCAGTGTGCAGTGACATTTCCCCAGCCGTGCTGAAACCCACCCACTGCGAGGGGAACAGCCACTGCGTTAGCATGCCCCCCGAGCCTGGCCTACAGGGCTCAAAGACCAAACACATGGCCCAGCCTAAGGGAAGGGGGAGGATGAAGGAGCTGGAGGAAGAAACCATTGGGTAGCCTCATTGCTGAGCAGGTTTGTGGCGGTCAGGGCTGTGCTGGGCTGCATTTAGAGAGTCGGAGTAATGCACAGCAGCAGGAAAAGGGAAAAGGCTGGGCTTAACCTTGGCACCAGGGCACTGGGTTCCCCAAGTGATAAGGTGGGAAATTCCAATATCTGGAGGAATCTAGGGAAGCCCCCCACAAGTCAGTCAATCCTTACTGAAACCCAGGTAGTCCTTCCATTCTCTCTGGTCATGTCATGCTCATCACACCAACAAATAAATCAGCAGGTTCCTCACAGTTCATGTTACTGGACTTTTCTTTCAATTCTTGTGGCTTTCTACCACCTAAGGGTTAGCACTCACACACACAGGCATGCAAAATGGTTTCCACTTCCAGCAGCACTCCCAGCAGCATAATGACATCATAGAAATGACTGCCCTCGTGTTACACAGACCTGAGGAAGCACTGTAGGCTGGATGACCCATTGCGTCAACCCTCAGCAGGACAGTTACTTGAGGGCAGAACAAGGGTAATGGCTAGCTCGTTGTGAGGTGCCCTGGTGTGAACAGCCAGCTAAGTCTCAGGGCTTCGCTCATTCAAGTTTCTTCAATGAGTAGGAACCGGCTGTGTTGCTCCTCTCTTCCCATCGTGGATCTGCTTTGCTACACAGAGACCCAACAGAGCCACATCAGCACTGTGCAATTTTCAGCGACTTTAGTGGTGCCGCTCCATGATGAGCAAAACCTGGTATTTTTAGCTGTGAATGTGCAGCTCTGTTTGCTACTGAAATTCAACAAAATCAAGACTAATCCTCAGGTGCATGTGAGGAGGATGAGACCAAGCTGTCTCACCAAAGGAAAGTCAGGACCTCATCACTGACAACTTAACGATTTCGTTTCAAGCTTCATGCCTTTTAGTGTGTTTGAAATACCCAGCTCTGGGAGTCAAGTGATAGCGTGTGATGCTCAACTTATCTAAATATTGCTAACTCTGCAGAAAAAAAGAGTGGAATTGTGACAAACCTTTCCTAGTGGTTCCAAGTCCATAAGAGAATTTTTAAAATGATCGTTTAAAAGAAAAAGATGTAAAGAGAGAAAGGAAAGCATCTCAGTATTTCATCCTATGTGATTTTTTGGCACCAGATTCATGATTTCTGAACACTTTGGGCTGATTATATCCAAGAGTGTTTACCTCATCACCCTTTGAATCCTCCGACTGCATTCCAGGGCTAGTGTCTCTTTCTGACGTGTCTCCATGAACTTCTGGGCGTGTTTCAGCAGTGACTTGCTGGGTGGGAACAGGCCAGTGCAGAGCCAAAGTAGCTGCCAGCCCTTGTTCACGCTGTACCTGTGAATACAAAGAAAATGGTCATGCTAGAGCCACATATAATTCTTCCTTTGACCACACAACAGCTACAGGGAAGAAAAAAAATCCCCCCCCCCCGCCATGGGACATTGTGCCATTCAGTAGCGAGCAGCAAATCAACAGAGCCTTCACGCAGGAGCTGACAGGCATTTTTCTGTGCAATGACCATAAGCTGTATACGAAGATAATTCTAAATCCTGGCTGATGAATATTCATGACAGTTGCAAATCTCATGAATAAGCATAAGCTCCAGTTTATCATCTTGGCAGCAGTGTCCTTGGTGCTGTCCTCTTTGTAAGCCACTGTCAATTCACTGGTTTAAGCTCACATTTATTTGGATTGCGTTTTATCAGTTGTTTGGATTCACCTCCCCTCTGTGACCACCCGGCTTTGCTTAGAACACAAGCATTTTGCTTGCAATTTATTTGCCCTTATGTTTCTGCTCTAAAAAATGACCAGGGAGATGGCGCTGTGTATTGAGGTAGTTACATCTCTTAAAAACTCTGGATCAAGTTTATCCTGTCATCAGCCAGAAGGGCAGTTCCTCCAGCCCCTGGGCCTGCGAACTCTGCTAGTCAAAGTTTTGGTGTCTCACTCTCACTGGTAAGAAAGGTTCTGCAGGTGGGAGAGGGTCCGTCATTCTGCCAGCAAAGCCATGAGCAGAACACGATATAGCAGGGTCCCTCAGATCACTTTGAAACGCTAAGCGCAGTGAACGGGTTTTGGTGAGGAAAGCCAGCAGGCCTGCCTCTGAATGGGCACCAGAACTCTGATGAATAAGGAGATGCTGGCTTTTTCACCATTTACTTTTCTGATTGTGCAGACCATGAAACACTGTTTTAATCCCATTTATACTCTACAGATCTGTGATGTTTGTGCCTGCGTGAGAGTGCGGCATGGTCCACAGGGCAGCAGCCTGGGAAGGATGAAAGATTCGTTCCTCTGGCTGTTCTAATGAAAATATATGGAAATAGCCACCTTTCAAGCATTGTTTTTTCCACATCAGTGATCCTGCTCAAAACAATGAATGATCCACAGGACTAAATTGGTAAGAGTACAGCAAGAATGGCACTGGCACTATGGTTACAGACCATGCATTAAACAGCCTGTAAGATTTACTGCACACAAGAAAATTTAACATTTAATAGTTACACTGGTGGTAAAAGTTCCACAAAGTTTAATAGTCTTTGAGGAACAACAAGAAAGAAGCTCCTTTTCTAACTTTTGCAGTGACACATTACAGCTAGGAAATGACAAACCATTTCCTTATCAAATGGAATTATTTTATTAGTATTTCAAGCTTTTATTGTAATGCAATTCCCTGGGAAGTAGGTCAGCTGATGCGTTTATGGGTGGGGAAGCAAAGCAGCAGCCTATTTCAGACACTCGTCCACGAGTGGGGCTTGTGTGACCAATCTCTCCTGCAAGCCAGTCGTGTAAGCTAATCAATACAGCTACTCAGAAGGATTCGCTGGTGGTAAAAGATTTAGCGCCAACTGCATGCTCGTAGGAGGGCAATACTGTCATTGGGGACCTTAAAACAAACGGAGGGCTAGGAAGAGCAGTCCCTGGAAGTGTCCAAGAACTCTCTGCAGTGCCATGTTTTCTGGAGGAGCAGTGGTCCTGCTCCGTGGCCCAGCAGTGCTCTGCAGAGCATTGCACTGAGCCCCGCAGCATTGCTTGGGGAAAAGGGGGAGGAAAGGTGTTGTTCCAGCATTCGCCCACCCTTCCCCTCTGCCCCGTCATACAGATATAGCAGGGACTAGAGGCCACCACCTGCACTCTAGAGAGCTGCAAAAGCAGGGCACAAACACCTGGGCAAGTACCTGTTTCTGTTCTCAGTCAGCTGCTTCATGATCTGACAGTAAATCTCATCCCGTAGAACCTCCTCCTGGATGGCTGCCACAAATATCTGGTCGGTGAGTTCCACAGAGGAATGAGCCTGTTTCGAGGGGTAATCCCCCATGAATTTCATGATGGGTGAACGTGCCATCAAGGACAAGCAGGTCAATTTTGGAAGGTAAATTGGAAGCACCGATTGGATCCTAACATGATAAGGGACTCTGTTCAGGTCTGAGTGGGAAATCCTGGGAGGAAGGACTAAATCTATTCCCTGCCCCCTCTATGACTTGTACGATATTAACTGCTTGCTCTGAGCACATGCAATAAATCCCACTCACTCCTAGCCACATTCTCAGTTAAGTGGGCTATTGCAGGCTGTGGGGCATTGGGGCAGAATGGGAACCTTTTCTCTCTAGACAAGGAAAACAAAGCTAAGCTAACCCCTGTCTTGCAGAGCTTATACCCCTTTAATGTAGATGCACCCCTTTAATGTGATATTAATCACATTAATGTGATATTAAATGTGATATTAATCACATATAATGTGCACCCCTTTATGTGATATTATTCCAATGGAGGCGAGTTCAGTGGAGGCAGCTCTTCCTTCCCCTGAGAGTTCTCAGGCCCACGGAGAAGGGTGAAAGGATATCAATGAAGGCCTGACAAGCCAGGTCCCGAAGATCAGGGTCTATGCATGCTGTCTTCAGCAAGGGCTGTTTCAAGGGCTCCTTGGAGTGTGCCCACAGCTGACTGCGCCCACGGGATTTCTGGAGAACAGCCTTGCTGATGGATTCCTTCTCGGGAGTCCTGAATGAAGACAAGTGCAGGCGATGATACAAATGCACTGGATCAGTACTGCTATGAACATAGGAAGTCATTATCACAAAGACTTATTTCTGGGCATGCTCTTCCCCAAGATGGTGATCTCTTATCTCCTTTGAGTATGCAGGTCAGCAAGAACAGGGAAATGTAGTTTCTTTTAGATTCAGAAGGGAGAAGGCTTGCAAGAAGGAGAGAGGATTTAGAAGACTAATTTCCTCCCTGTTTTCTAAGGCCTGAGATATTGCATGCCTTAGCTAGCTGGTAAGTTCTGGAGAGAGGTGAGACCTAAGCATAGGGCCTGCTGGAAGGAAAAGAAAAAAATTCCAGATGAGGTTCTCCTACTCTTCCCTTTGCATTTCTGCAGGCAAAAGAAAGATACAAGCAGACTATGCACCAGAATCTCTGCAGGCCTAACGTTATGCTTCATTACAGGGAACAAAAGGAAGAAACTCAGTCAAAAATGGGAGATGCAGTTGCATCCTAGGCTTTAAGGATTGCTGGAGATCAACCAGAGACTTTCCTAGGGGACATACTGCACAGGGAGCAGTTTCATCTAGCACAGGGAGCTTCACCTGAAGTGTTCGTAAGAGAACTCCTCCAGAGTGTAAGGCTTCACTCTGGCATCCTCTTCGTCAGGCTCCTCCATGTGGGAGTTCTGGGAGGCTGTCCTCCTCTGGTCTGGAGACATCATCAGCAAACTCTGGAAGGACACAGCCACAGAGAGAGGTTACACTGACACAGGACTCTGAAGTGTTACTCAGCGGACACAGACAGATTGTGTATACCAAGCTTGAGTGCTCTGTGCTGCAAGAGACATAACATATCCTCTAAGCATCTTCAGAGACTCAAGAAAACAGCAGGAGACGAGAGACTTGAGAGTAGGAGACTCGAGAGTAGGAGACTGAAGAAAGCAATTTACAGAGACCCAATAACAGTGGCCATCAAAGTGTGTGTGATTATCCAGAACACAGCACTCATAAAAAATGCACCTGATTGCCACTGGTGTTTTTTTTTTTCCCCACATTTTCATCTTTTTACCTGTTGTGATCAGTGGGAAACCTTGTGTTGGCTTCCTAGAGAAGCATGTTCCTTTAAAGGAAACCACTGTATTCAGAGCTTCCCTTGTCCCCTAATGTATGATCACCGCTCAACCCAATGTGAATTCAGGAAAAGTCAACTGCACATCTTTTTCCATGAATTGCTACCTATTCCAAGCACTGAACCCCCTAATGGGGAACGGACCATTATTTAGAAGGTGATTGCTTTTGTGCAACTGCAATCTTATCGTTGGAGTCTGGGCTGGGTTTAGTTTTGTTTTCAGACGAGACAGAATGAAATGGGAGGTACAGAACTTGCCTGATTTTGAAGAAACAGTTATCTTCCAGTTACAAATTTAATCATATTTAACACTGTTATACCAGTTATCTTCCAGTCTCTTCCAAAAGAGGGCTAAGCTTTTCTTACCAGCAGTTGACTAGATGGTTTTGTGAGGGAAGGAATGATGTAGATCTCTTCTAAAGACACGTTTCCTGTTTTGCCTGTCCTTTCATTCTGGGCATTGATCCAGTCAGAGTTTGCATCCAGCCTTTTGTCCTCGGGGAGGATTAGCAAGTCTCCCTTCTTGAAGGGCAGGATGGCAGGGTCTTCTGGAAACAGAATAAGGAAATACTGTTCAAGCTTGACAATCCAAGAAAATGGAAAGGGATTTCAATAAGAATGACAAGGGAATCGTGTTTTCAAGGCCTAAATTCAATTAGCAATATAAAGTGTTTTGTGTAAATATGCCTTATCACTCAGTAACACTTCAGAGAAATCACTAAAATTTGCTCAGCCAGCCTGATTTTATTCCACTGAAGGCAATGGCAAAACTCCATTTGATTCAAATGGATGCAGAATTTGTGGGCAGTACTGGCTGCAGTGCATGGAAAGAAACTTATTGCTAGTGATAACTAGGTGAAGTTAATATTTGTATCGTAATTACTTCCTTGCTGCTCCAGGCAACTGTATTCCACAGAAACTTCCAGCTTACTACGTCGGTGAAACTCTTCTGGAAAATATTTCCAGGCAGCCCGCTCCAGCTTCCTACTACAAGTAGGCTGACCTCTTGGAGACTGCAACATCTAAATACAATATCCAAAGCAGTAGAAGGGGCAAGGAAGGCTAATTTGTATGCAAAGGTCTTGAATCACATTGCCTTCTGCTCTGCATTGCTGTGCTGATCAGTATAAATTCCTCCTGGAGCAAAGTGTCTCTTCTGTGGGGTCCTCCCGCTCCTCTCTGAGCTCCTTCCATCAAGTGCTATGTGTTCTCTCAAGATTTCTCCCAGCTCTGTAGCAATGTTATCAGACGTACCTTGGGGCTTTTTCTCTTGCATCGCCACAGCAAATCGTGATCTTTTCTTCAGTCCTTCCAGGAACATGACCACCAGTTCAGCAATTACAATGCTGTTGACAGATGTCAGGACAAACTCCTCGCCACGAAGCGTGATGAGAGTGCAGCTCTGTCCAAATGACTTCACTGCCCTATGTATTATTGAACAGTTTGTTACCAGAGTATCTGAAAAAATTAGAGCTATCTGCAATCACAGCCAAGGCACCTACACCTCCTTGTAGACAACTGCCCAAGAATGAGCTCCTGATTTGTCTTCTCATGAGTAGGTAGGTGAGAAGGATTGAAGTGATTCAGGCTCACTCTGGACTCCACTTCCCCATGTTTTTGTACAAAAGTACCTCATTCTAGATAAAAGAGTACCCTTCTGTGGGAGTAATAAGGCAACTAATTCAATCTGTGACTCTCTGCACAGAAAGGCATTTTTTTCTTTATGTAAGTCCCTACGGCCTGAGTGATCTGATGCAAGGATGTGTACCCTGACCAAGCCAAAGGTTATTCTCTTTCCGACAGCAGTCCTGTTCAGCTCCACCACACCTGAGAAGCATACAAACTCCCAACGCACCTAACTGATGATGGCTTAACTATGTTAGTTATTTGGGCCATTCTTGTCTTGACTCATGTCTGTGCTTCCTTATACCTTTCATACTGAGCAGGGTCTTCTTTCCTTTGGCTGACTGGGTAGATCCAGCCATTTCAGGACTTCCTTCACAAGCAGCTTAGAGCTTGTCCCTCTCTTTCCCAGATCTAGGCTAAACCAGCTTTCCAGGCTCAAATCAGACCCCCAGAGGAAAGGCAGAGAAAGTATACCTCCCTCCTTCATGGAAACCCCTTTCTGAATATGGGTAGAGCTGCCTTTATCAGATCTTGTCTCTTTGAGATACTCACCTGTTGGTGTGGATGCCGGTTATCTCTGGGAAGGTCAGCTCAAGAAGCCGTTTTTCAGACTCATCCAAGAAGCAGATACCTTTCCAATTAATGGCAACTATAAAGTGGTTCTTGGGCAAGCTGGGACCTGAAAATACAGGAATAACTCCTCATTAATGCTATACAAGTTCTCCTCTCGCATCTCTATGTTATCTTATATCTGTCCTCTACTCCCAGGCTCCAGACATTACCTGAAAACTTTGTGACTTCAAAGAATCTAGAAAAAAGCAAAGGCCACTGAAAGCGAGCGAAATCCACAAGTTGTTCCTTCACAGTCTGACGGGAAAGGTGGTCCTGTGTGTATGGGGCCTGCAATATAAAAAGATACCCGAAGTTTCCTCAGCAAAATCTGATTTGCATGATCTGCAAAACATTGTATCTGCAGATAATAAAGAGTGGACCTGATCCCAGAGGGTCCCAACAGCCCTCTGTTACCACTGACATCAAGTGCACCTGCAGAAAGTCAAATAAAGAATAGTCTCCAGAGCCCCAAGCCACATGCAGCTAAGGCTGCCAGCAGGCATGTGGACTTCAGATTCCCCTCAAATCCTGAGTGACTGGTCTGTTTGTCTAGGACACATTGGGTGCCATGAAAATAACCCGGGTAACCCATTTCCAGATCATTAAAATAATATTCCATCCCATGCCCATCCTGACTCAGTTGTCAGATAGGTAGTTGAAAGGGAGCGAGCCTTAAAAGACACTCTGTTCAGAGATTTATTCTCTCTTCACTCTGCCCCCTTGTTGAGCCATATATGGAAGAGTGAGTGAACAGATTCCCTCTCTCCCACTCCTAAGTATTTGCAATAGATAAACTGAGATGTTTTTCCTTCTTCCCTCAACAGGCTAGTCGAAAATGGAAATGATGAAAGAAGGAGAAGTTGGCGCTCAAGAGC